GAGCTGATGGGGTTGGTAAGTTGGAGGTGCTGTGCATGGATGTTTCTGAGGGGGGACCTGTGGTGTGCACTGAGCTGGAGACAGCAACAGTGGTTAAAGGCTGTGTGGTGTGTGGACGGTGAGGACTGCTGGGTGTCCCTGAGGTGGTGTGGACCACAGGAGTACCAGTTACACCCATGGTGGAAATAGTTGATAAGGTTGTTGCAGGAAGTGGTGTGGATGGGTGGGCAGTCATGGAAGAAGTTTCTGAAATGTGGGAAGGAGAGGTCCTGTCTGTAGAGAATGAGCTTTGAGCTTGTGTGGTGGCACTGGTTGTATAAATGACCCGAACTGATGTTTGTGGAGGGCTTGTGCCTTCCATTGTGGTAGGAAGAACGGTCTCTGGTATCATGGAAGTGGAGGCTGATGATAATGTGTGTTGACTGGTTTGGGTGCTAGTTCTCATTGAATTTGATGTCACAGAGGAGGTTGAAAATAATGGCAGTGGTGTGGATGCGGTCTGAGGAGCTGATGGGGTTGGTAAGTTGGAGGTGCTGTGCATGGATGTTTCTGAGGGGGGACCTGTGGTGTGCACTGAGCTGGAGACAGCAACAGTGGTTGAAGGTTGTGTGGTGTGTGGACGGTGAGGACTGCTGGGTGTCCCTGAGGTGGTGTGGACCACAGGAGTACCAGTTACACCCATGGTGGAAATAGTTGATAAGGTTGTTGCAGGAAGTGGTGTGGATGGGTGGACAGTCATGGAAGAAGTTTCTGAAATGTGGGAAGGAGAGGTCCTGTCTGTAGAGAATGAGCTTTGAGCTTGTGTGGTGGCACTGGTTGTATAAATGACCGGAACTGATGTTTGTGGAGGGCTTGTGCCTTCCATTGTGGTAGGGAGAACAGTCCCTGGTGTCATGGAAGTGGAGGCTGATGATAATGTGTGTTGACTGGTTTGGGTGCTAGTTCTCATTGAATTTGATGTCACAGAGGAGGTTGAAAATAATGGCAGTGGTGTGGATGAGGTCTGAGGAGCTGATGGGGTTGGTAAGTTGGAGGTGCTGTGCATGGATGTTTCTGAGGGGGGACGTGTGGTGTGCACTGAGCTGGAGACAGCAACAGTGGTTGAAGGTTGTGTGGTGTGTGGACCGTGAGGACTGCTGGGTGTCCCTGAGGTGGTGTGGACCACAGGAGTACCAGTTACACCCATGGTGGAAATAGTTGATAAGGTTGTTGCAGGAAGTGGTGTGGATGGGTGGGCAGTCATGGAAGAAGTTTCTGAAATGTGGGAAGGAGAGGTCCTTTCTGTAGAGAATGAGCTTTGAGCTTGTGTGGTGGCACTGGTTGTATAAATGACCGGAACTGATGTTTGTGGAGGGCTTGTGCCTTCCATTGTGGTAGGGAGAACAGTCCCTGGTGTCATGGAAGTGGAGGCTGATGATAATGTGTGTTGACTGGTTTGGGTGCTAGTTCTCATTGAATTTGATGTCACAGAGGAGGTTGAAAATAATGGCAGTGGTGTGGATGAGGTCTGAGGAGCTGATGGGGTTGGTAAGTTGGAGGTGCTGTGCATGGATGTTTCTGAGGGGGGACGTGTGGTGTGCACTGAGCTGGAGACAGCAACAGTGGTGGAAGGTTGTGTGGTGTGTGGACCGTGAGGACTACTGGGTGTACCTGAGGTGGTGGTGTGGACCACAGGAGTACCAGTTACACCCATGGTGGAAATAGTTGATAAGGTTGTTGCAGGAAATGGTGTGGATAGATGGGGAGTCATGGAAGAAGTTTCTGAAATGTGGGAAGGAGAGGTCCTGTCTGTAGAGAATGAGCTTTGAGCTTGTGTGGTGGCACTGGTTGTATAAATGACCGGAACTGATGTTTGTGGAGGGCTTGTGCCTTCCATTGTGGTAGGGAGAACAGTCCCTGGTGTCATGGAAGTGGAGGCTGATGATAATGTGTGTTGACTGGTTTGGGTGCTAGTTCTCATTGAATTTGATGTCACAGAGGAGGTTGAAAATAATGGCAGTGGTGTGGATGAGGTCTGAGGAGCTGATGGGGTTGGTAAGTTGGAGGTGCTGTGCATGGATGTTTCTGAGGGGGGACCTGTGGTGTGCACTGAGCTGGAGACAGCAACAGTGGTTAAAGGCTGTGTGGTGTGTGGACGGTGAGAACTGCTGGGTGTCCCTGAGGTGGTGTGGACCACAGGAGTACCAGTTACACCCATGGTGGAAATAGTTGATAAGGTTGTTGCAGGAAATGGTGTGGATGGGTGGGCAGTCATGGAAGAAGTTTCTGAAATGTGGGAAGGAGAGGTCCTGTCTGTAGAGAATGAGCTTTGAGCTTGTGTGGTGGCACTGGTTGTATAAATGACCGGAACTGATGTTTGTGGAGGGCTTGTGCCTTCCATTGTGGTAGGAAGAACGGTCTCTGGTATCATGGAAGTGGAGGCTGATGATAATGTGTGTTGACTGGTTTGGGTGCTAGTTCTCATTGAATTTGATGTCACAGAGGAGGTTGAAAATAATGGCAGTGGTGTGGATGAGGTCTGAGGAGCTGATGGGGTTGGTAAGTTGGAGGTGCTGTGCATGGATGTTTCTGAGGGGGGACGTGTGGTGTGCACTGAACTGGAGACAGCAACAGTGGTTGAAGGTTGTGTGGTGTGTGGACCGTGAGGACTGCTGGGTGTCCCTGAGGTGGTGTGGACCACAGGAGTACCAGTTACACCCATGGTGGAAATAGTTGATAAGGTTGTTGCAGGAAGTGGTGTGGATGGGTGGGCAGTCATGGAAGAAGTTTCTGAAATGTGGGAAGGAGAGGTCCTGTCTGTAGAGAATGAGCTTTGAGCTTGTGTGGTGGCACTGGTTGTATAAATGACCGGAACTGATGTTTGTGGAGGGCTTGTGCCTTCCATTGTGGTAGGGAGAACAGTCCCTGGTGTCATGGAAGTGGAGGCTGATGATAATGTGTGTTGACTGGTTTGGGTGCTAGTTCTCATTGAATTTGATGTCACAGAGGAGGTTGAAAATAATGGCAGTGGTGTGGATGAGGTCTGAGGAGCTGATGGGGTTGGTAAGTTGGAGGTGCTGTGCATGGATGTTTCTGAGGGGGGACCTGTGGTGTGCACTGAGCTGGAGACAGCAACAGTGGTTAAAGGCTGTGTGGTGTGTGGACGGTGAGGACTGCTGGGTGTCCCTGAGGTGGTGTGGACCACAGGAGTACCAGGTACACCCATGGTGGAAATAGTTGATAAGGTTGTTGCAGGAAGTGGTGTGGATGGGTGGGCAGTCATGGAAGAAGTTTCTGAAATGTGGGAAGGAGAGGTCCTGTCTGTAGAGAATGAGCTTTGAGCTTGTGTGGTGGCACTGGTTGTATAAATGACCGGAACTGATGTTTGTGGAGGGCTTGTGCCTTCCATTGTGGTAGGGAGAACAGTCCCTGGTGTCATGGAAGTGGAGGCTGATGATAATGTGTGTTGACTGGTTTGGGTGCTAGTTCTCATTGAATTTGATGTCACAGAGGAGGTTGAAAATAATGGCAGTGGTGTGGATGAAGTCTGAGGAGCTGATGGGGTTGGTAAGTTGGAGGTGCTGTGCATGGATGTTTCTGAGGGGGGACGTGTGCTGTGCACTGAGCTGGAGACAGCAACAGTGGTTAAAGGTTGTGTGGTGTGTGGACTGTGAGGACTGCTGGGTGTACCTGAGGTGGTGTGGACCACAGGAGTACCAGTTACACCCATGGTGGACATAGTTGATAAGGTTTTTGCAGGAAGTGATGTGGATGGGTGGGCAGTCATGGAAGAAGTTTCTGAAATGTGGGAAGGAGAGGTCCTGTCTGTAGAGAATGAGCTTTGAGCTTGTGTGGTGGTACTGGTTGTGTACATAACCTCTGTTGGTGTATGTGGGGTCCCTGTCGCCTCTGTTGTGGTTTGTAGAATGGTGCTCTTCGGTCTGGTCGTGGAAGTCGATGATGCTGTGTGTTGGCTGCTAGGGGTGCTATGCTTTTCAGAGGTCGTCACAGTGGAGGTTGGTAGTGATGTCAGTGTTGTCTTCAGAGAGGACTGAGGAGCTGATGGTGTTGGGAAGGTGATGGTGGTCTGCTTGGAAATTTCCGAGTGCCTTGTGGTGTGTGTTGTGGTTGAGATAACAGCTGTGGGTTGAGCGTTCGTGGTCTGTGTCTTATGGGGACTGCTGTGTGTGACTGAGGAGGTATTGATTGTTATGGTACCAGTTATACTCGTCGTCGTGGGCTTAATTGAACTGTCTGTCGGTGGAACTGATATGGACTGATGGGCCGTCATGGAAGTAGGGTGAGAAAGGACAGAAGTGTAGCTTCTGGTTGTGGAGAATGAACTTTGAGTTTGAGAAGTGGCGCTGATTTTGGAAGTGCTAAGAGGTGCTGTAAGTGTGGGCCTTGTTCCCTCCATTGTGGTCTTTGGAAGAATGGTGCTGAATATCTTGGGGGTGGAAGCAGTTGAAACTGTTTCTGTGCTTGTGGGAGTCCTAATTATCTGTGAAGTTGGTTTTACAGAGGAGGTTGAAAATACTGGCAGTGTTGTGGCCAAAGAAGTCTGAGGACCTGATTGTGTATGGAAGGTAATTGTGGTCTGCACAGAAGTTTCTAAGGGGGGGCCAGTGGTGTGTGTTGAGCTAGAGACAGGAACAGTGGGTGGAGGTTGTGTGGTATGCGGAGTAGGAGGTCTGCTAGTTGTTCCTGAGGTGGTGTGCACCACAGTGGTACCAGTTCCTCCCATGGTAGACCTGTTGGATATTGTAGTGAGGGGAAGTGATGTGGGCTGATGCTGAGTTGTATTGGAAGGGTGTGTTAAGGAAGCTGAGGTGGTTTGTGTGGAGAATGAATTTGAGGTTAGGGTTGTGTAGGTGCCTGGGGCTAATGTTTGTGTTATTTCTGTTTCCTCTACTGTGGTGGTTTGAAACATGGTGGTGGATGGGTTTATTATGGAAGGTGATGGTAGTATATGTGAAGTAGTTGGGGTCATGAGAGTCTGAGATGTTGGTGTCACTTCTGACGTAGTAAGTGTTGGGTTTACAGAGGCTAATGAGCTTTGAGTCCTTGGAAAAGTGGTTGTTGTCTGGATAGATGTTTCCGAGGGAGCAGTTGTGGAGTATTCTGTAGTGTGGAAAGAAATGGTTGGTTGAGAGTGGGTGCTCCATGTCATGTGTGTTGACTTAGTTTGAGATACTGTGTTTGGGGTCCAAGTATTTGTATTAGGTGTTGGTGGGCTATTGCTTTGTCCTGTCCGATGTGTGGTCAGGGTAGTCTTTCCTGAGAGAGGTAGTTCTGTGGTCTCAGTTGCATGGCTTGTTGTGGCTGGACGGTGACTTTCCTGTTGGGCTGATGTCACTGTGGATCATGGCAGTGAATAATGTTCAGTTTATGCTCATAGTCCTTTACATATGCTGTGCTGTGTCCCTGGCCTGGCTTTTCTGTTTTCTAACCATGCTCTATTACCTGTGAGTAGTTTTCCTAGCTTATGAGGCTCTTGGCTTTCTTTGGTGAACTTTACTGCTGTTCTAGCTCCCCTCCTTTACATGTATCGTGATGTACCCCTTTACATCATTCCTGCTTGTCCTGTGTGGCCTGAGGCGTGACTGGTTGTCATGCTGTATCCCTTTCTCCCTGCCACTTGTCTGCCCCATTGGCTCCCCTCTCCCTCACCCCCTGAGCAATACAGACTCTCTTGTTGAGTTGGATATGCTATACTGAGAGTCAGAGTTGAACATTTGGCTCGGGTGCCCTGGCTTCCCAGGGGCCTTGACTCACCTTGGCTGGTGGACATCTCAGGCATTACTGAGGTTGGTGGTGTCACTGTGGTACTCTCTGTGAACTGAGCTGTGGTCTTTGTGGATGAGCTGGGGGAAGATGCTGTGGGCTTGGTTGTGGCCTGTGTCACTGGGAGCCTTGTGGGTGTTGACCTCGGTATGGATGTAGGAGGCAAAGGTGATGTCAGTGGTGCAGTAGCCTCAGTGGTTTGAGGGTATTCTGTAGAGGAAAGTCATGGCATTACCTCTTTCCCACTTGCTTTTCCCAGATGTGTGTTTAAGTCCCCTGCTCTTAATCCTGCCTTCAGGATGCTTATCTTATTGTTATCTCTTTATAGTTTGATGAACACCAGTCTTGTCTCTTTCCTAGCCTGCAAGTCCACCTAGCTGGTGTGGACTCACCTCAAGGGCAGTAACCACACAGGCTCTCATGGGCCACTGATCATCCCTCTGCCCACATTTCTGCTCTTAGGGCTGATGTTCCTTTCTCCTTGGTGTCCCCAGCAGCATCTGGGATTGCTGCTGTATGTGAGTGGGGCAGGCTTCAGGATGGAGGCCTAGAGGATCCCATGTATATTCTAGTGGAAGTTTCAGACAGCTTTAAGTGGCCACACTGAGTGATCAGCTAGCTTGAGTTGTAAGCTAGGTTTTCAGAAAAATCTCCACCCTGCCTTTCATGCCCAGGGAATTCTGTGCTGAGACACTGCCTTCAGGCATATCTCAGTGGGAAGACAGTGAGAGCCCCCTCCCTACCCTAGGACTCTACTGCATCCCTCCTTTTTACCTGAGGAGACTGTGGATTTCTTGGGGGTGGTCCAGTCTGTTACTTCCTCAGTGGAGGATGGGGTTGAAGGTGCTGGGGTTGGAAGACCTGGCAAGTAGGAGGGGCCCACAGGTGTAGCTGCAGAGCTGGAACTATAGAACTCAGTGCTGGTGGGAGTTGCCGTGGTGGGCTGTGAACCTGTGTGGGGCATAGGTGCTCTCGTGGATGGGCAGGATCTGGCTTTGGTGCCTCTTTGGGAAGAGACTGATCTGCTGGCTGAAGGGCTAGGCCAAAGGTACAGGGTGGCTCATGGACCTATGAAGGCAGCATGGAATCCTGATAGACTTACCTGTGGAGGCCTTGCTTCCTGCTCAGTCAAAGATCAAGTGAGTCAAGTGGCCCCGGCCAATGGCTGGCCAGGAGCTAAGCTTTGTATGCTGTTTCCCTTCTGACCTGGGACTGCAAGATACATTACCCACCCTCCCAGGACCTGGCAGACACAGAGACTGGGCTGGTGGGATGGGGAGGGCTGTCCACTGGAGCTAAGGTGAGCCCTAGTCTGGAAGCCTTCATCCTGTGGTACCAAGTGGGTGAGCAATCACCTGTGGTGGCTGGCGGTAGTGTGGTAGTGGGTGGTGCTGCAAGAGAAGGGGGTCATCAGGAAGTGCTGCTTGACTGTCTCATTGCTCCTCTGACTGTCCCTCTCCCTCCCTTCCTTGTCAGCCTGGCAGGGAGAGTAGGGGACCAGCCAGGGTGCCATGGCAGGGTAGTGTAAAGCTGGGTTCATAGGAAAATCCCCATTGTGTACCCAAGTTTCCTCGCTGGCTTGGGGCGCCCTGCCCTAACATTGTGGCTAAGCAATGGCTGGAATGGGGTATAGAGCAGAGGCCAAGGGGACCAGTACTGCATTTTTTTTTTTTTTTTTGGTTTTTCAAGACAGGGTTTCTCTGTGTAGCTTTGCGCCTTTCCTGGAACTCACTTGGTAGACCAGGCTGGCCTCGAACTCACAGAGATCCGCCTGGCTCTGCCTCCCGAGTGCTGGGATTAAAGGCGTGCGCCACCACCGCCCGGCTTTTTTTTTTTTTTTTTTTTTTTTTTTTTTTGCTGTGTACTATGACACTGTTCGAGCCTGTGTGTCAGTATCCTGAAGGAAAGCATCTAGGAAGGAGTTACGGGGGCTGGACAGGCTTGATGCATATTTTACCCACACAAGGGCTGTACTCTCTGGTGGCAGGAACATCTGCTAGACTTACCGCAGGGTACACAGGTCCCTTCTTTGTGGTCGAAGTACTCATTGTGGGAGCAGTTGTAGCATCCTGGGGCAGAAAAGGGTCAAGCTCAGCGCTCCTTTTCACACCCACCAGCCCCACTTGTCTGCCCCACTACTGTTCTGTGTTCCCTTCTCAGCTCTCCTGCCCCCACCTCTTCCTCTCCCTTCACACCAGCTTCTGGAGTCACCTGCTGGGCTCCCGAGCTCTGCCCTGTGTGTCCTTGCTCTGGCTCTTGGCGTCTGTGTCTGAACTGCCTTTTTATGTCTTTGATTTTGAGACATCTCACTGTTTGGCTCTAGCTGACCCGGAACTCACTGTGTAACCCAGAATAGCTTTGCACCTACAGGGATCCGCCTGCCTCTGCCTCCTGAGTGTTGGGACTAAAGGCGTGCGCCACCATGACTGGCCTAATTGCTCTTTTTTGATGTGGAGACTACTGTCTCTGTCCCAGCTCCTGCCCCTCTGATCTTCGACTCTGTGAGAGACTCTAGAGCAGCAGCAGCCACCCAGCTGTGCTGTTCCTGTGGCATCTGTCTTAACTTCCACTGTGGTAGGTGTGTCAGCTGACAGGTTTTTAAGTCCTTAGTTGGCTTTTTAAGGCTCTTTCCCAGGCCAGAGAGAAGGGCTAGTTTGTGTGAGGCCAGGTCCTCAGTCAAGAACAAGGCCTGGAATTCAGGACACGTTTGCTGAGTGTGTGAGTGAGTGGATGTGTGAGTGGATGAATGTGTGCTGAGTAATGTGTTGGTGAATGAATACATGAGAGTGAATCTGTGTGTGAACAAATGAATGCATTATGAATAGATGTGTACATGAAAGAATGAGTGAGTGGACCTATAAATCAATGAATGAACAAAAGCCCACGTGCATGGCATGTGCATCCCTGTGCTTGATACCTTCAATGTTTGTGTCCGGGAAGCTCCCCAAGCTGCCAGGGCAGAGACAGGGCTGGTAGTGCCACGTGCAGTTGGCCTCTTGAGCATACTGGTATTCCTTCTCACCCACCAGTGTGTGGATGTTGTAGAAGTCACAGTAGACAGCTGAGAAGAAGAATGTGCATCAGCTGTCATCGAGGTCAAAGTGCCAGAATGAAGGGCTGGGTTCTGTTTGAGGCTGTCTCCTCTTGATGGGTCTGGGAAGGGAGAGCCTGGGGAATAGCTGGTGACCCCGGGCTGCTCTGCAGGGATACAGCCTGGTGCCTGCCTGGAGAGAGGCTTCTGGGGTATGCCCCTGGGTGGAGCAGGTTTGGGCATGGGGTGAGACACTCACGGCAGAAGTCTGGGGCCCTCCAGTCCACACACACGCCCTTGTCCAGACAGGCCTTGGCATAGGCAGCCACTGCATCGCACAGACACTCGCAGTCTCCGCCCATGTCGCAACCACAGGTATCACGCACACAGGCCTCATAGTAGGGCAGGTGGTATACCTGTGGAGTGGAGGGTCTCATGTTGGCATTTGGCTTGCAGTGGTGGCAAGGTGGAGTTAGACTTTGCTGCCTTAGGGTATAGATATTGGGGGAATGCCCTGGCACTCTGAGAGCATCTTCTAGCGTAAGCTGCAACTGTCAGTGGCGGCCACCTTCTGGAGGTCAGTGCTGTTGGTGTCAGTGAACCCTGCCCTGGAGTGTCTGTTAGAAACAACTCCTGTTGGGACCAGGGTGTGGCAAGCCAAGGCTGCCTGTCTCTTGCTTGAATACCTGATCCTCTTAGGGTCTCCGCTCCCTTCTTTGGCCCTCCTGAACCCCCCAGCTGGCCCCTGGCTACAGAGGCTTTGCACCGCCTGGGGTAGCTCCCTGTCGTTTTACTGAGGACCACATATTAGGGCTGTACTGAAATTCTTAGCCCTGGCCAGGGCTGGGTTCCTATGACTGAATAGCTCTTCTCTGGGCCATGCATCCCGGAGCAGCTAGCTGTCTGCCTGAGGTGACACTTTGCTCAACTCTCTTGTCTGCTGTGGCCCTCTAGTGGGCAGAGGTCTGGGTACTGCTAACCATCATGTGGATGGCCCTGGCCTCAGGTGATGGGTATTCTCCTCTCCACACCTGATGCCTCCAGCCATGGTAGGAGGACTGTGTCTCATGTCTCCATCTTGGAGGACAGGGCCTACCTTACTGTGGCAGGCGGCAAAGGTTTGGCTGTTGATAATGTTGCATTTGCGCTCAGCCCAGGAGCGCCGGAAGGTATTTAGGCTACAGGGATCCACCACGTAACTCGCATCCCCACACAGTGGATTTTCCTTCCATGAGTTCACAAACTCCAGTTCACTGGATGCCACGTACTTGCTGCGTGTCTCAAAGTCATCCTTCATGTTCCCATTGGAGTTGCCACACAAGCCACAGAGGGCATCCTGTGGGAGCAATTGCTGAGGAGCCATGCAGGCTTCATGGAAGATCCCTCACCCTGAGACCAGCTGGGACCATGGTTCAAAAGCAAGCATGCGGTGAGTACCTGGGTGGCACGGCGGATCTTGATAGAGACACTCATGTGCTTGTTCCACACAAGTGTCAGGTTGAGCCTTCCAGGGATGCCTATGTCCAGGACAAGGTTTAGGGGGCTGGGCTTCACCTGAAGGTGCACCAAGGGTTCTTCCCCGCTGACCGTGTAGTTCCTGTCTGCCATTGTGATGGACAGCCCCTGTGTGGGGAGGGCTGTCACCACTTGGTCTCTTTTCCTGCCCACCCCAGTGCCCTGGCTGCCTGTGATTTGAGTGTTTGGAAGGTAGAGGTGTAATCCAGCATAATAAATTTCCATCTTTGTGAGGATTGGGAGTTCAAAGCCAGCCTAAACTGCATGATAAACTTGAGGCTAGCCTAGGCTACATGAGACCCTGTTTCAAAACAATAACAAGAACAGTGAAAGACATGTGTAGGAGTATCTGCTGGGAGCCAGTTCTGGACAGAAGGTTCTAGACACATGGAAACAGATTTCATCTTCCTGAAGAACAACTTTCTTTTTGCCCTTGAAATGCTGTACATCCCTGGGAAACTGGTGGAGACCACGTGGCCACAAGTTCTGAGTGTGTAACAACCCAGTGGGTCACCAATCTCTGGCCACCCTTTCCTGTCATACAGATGAAGAGGGATTGTGGGAGGGCTATGCAGTGAGGGTGGCGGCTGGGAGATCTGGGAGGGAACTGATCAAAATCCAGCCCTCCCCCACCCTGTGGGACCCAGCCACTTACACCCAGGGAGATCTTGATGGCTCGGGAGCAGGTGACCCCTGATTTCCCACAGATGACGTTCTCTGTCAGGACCTTGAAGGTAGGCTGTGAGCTGTTGGCACCACAGTCGTCCTGCAGGAAAGGGTGTTGAGGAGAAGCCCCCGTGGCCCCCACCCTGGCTCCTTGCAGCCTTGGCACTGGGCACAGTGGTTACCGTGGCCAGAGTGTACTCGCAGTTGCCGTCAAACACAAAGCGCTGTCCATCGAAAGTCACGACGTGGCCTTCACCGTAGAGGACACAGGTGGATGGGCACTGTGCACTGAGCTGGCAGGTCCACTTCCCCTGGGAGCAAGTGCTGGGGAGAGAGAAGGGGAGGACTGTAAGAGGCAGTTCTTCCACACAAGGAGGTGGGTGGAGACCTGGGCTGTGACCTTAGGATACCCTACCTCTGGAAGCCCCACCTTGGGGCAACTTACTTTTGAGAGTCCTTGCCTGCCCAGATGGCCCTCAGGGTCTGGGTGTTCGGGCTAAGGCATGACCTACCAATTCTTACAGTCAGTATGGAGCTCAGAGCCACCAGGATAGGACACCCCTGCAAAGTCACATGGGCATTCCTCTGCAGGCACACACTGCCCGTCGCTGTTCTCATAGAGCCCCTTGGGACAGATACAGCCAGGTTCGCATTTGGTGGGTACCTGGTGGGGAGACAGGCTTCTTAGCTTCTCGGCACTCTGCTACCGCAGCTCCAGCTTCGAGACTCCCCATGTTTTCCCTTTGGTCTAGCCTTCCCTAGGGTCTGTGGCAGCTGAGGTTTGCTTCTAGAGAAGCCACCCTTCCAGTAATGTTTCAGGGGTGTGTGTGTGTGTGTGTGTGTGTGTGTATCAGAATGGGCTGCCACATGCACAGGGACAGGTGGCCATAGTTCCCAAGCTGGGAGCCAGTCCATGTCCTCACAGAATTGTGTAGACAAGTACCCTGTGCTCCAGCTACCCAACTGCCAGTCAGCTCCTGACTCAATACCAGCACTAGCTATTGAGACAGAGACATGGCTAGAGGGACATTGCGGATGCAGCATGTCCCTGCCCTGCACTGGGCTCCTGTCGATGTGTGGAAACCCTCCTCACACTGCTTACACAGTCAATGCCTGTGGCCAGCATCTGGCACGTGGGGGCACATGCAGCCCCAAACTTGTCTTCTGACGACTGACTGCAGGACTGCAAGGTCTTGGGTTCTGGGCAGGATGCTGCAGGGAGGAGGAAGACAGGTCAGGTGGACTGAGGGATGCCAAGTGGTATAGGGGCCTGCCGAACAGGGTCTCCTGGCTAGCTCCTGGTATACACTTACCCAAAAACATCTCAGCCTGCCGTGGGCAGCTCAGGCGGCCATTGATGCAGTAGCTGTAAGAGAGGGGCAAGGGCACATGAGCTCCCAGGTGTGCAGGGCCCCTCCCTCACCAGGCATTGCCCAGCCCTGCCCTCCATACCATATGACCCCGTTGATCATGGTTGACTGATCAGCCTGGACGAACTTGTAGCTGTCCAGCAGACAGGGGCACTGGGCCTTGTGCACACATTCTGCCTTGTGGTTCAGGTAGGTGCCCTCAGGACAGTTGCAGCCATCCACTGGCACAGCACTTGCATGACACTCTGTCTCACGATCCGACAGAGACAGGCAGGTGCGGTCACAGGCCTTGCTATCGTAGCTGAATGTGCGGTTGCCAGTGCAAGGCACAGCTGTGGGGGGATTAGGGGTCAGGTTCTCAGGACAGAAAGCTGTGTGGGGAAAGGGTCTGGGGCTTGGGGGTGTGATGACTAGCAGGCAGAGAAATGGCTGAGCAGAGTTAGTTAAGGCCCTGGAATTCCTCAAAATGACCACAGGGGCTCTGTTGGGTTTCAGGCTCCCATTCTTCCTATGTCCACAGCCCTGCCCCTTCTGACTCCTCCACAGCCCCTCACCACAGCCAGCACTCACTGCAATTGTCCACGCTGCTTCTCCAGTCCAAGAGCAGGATGCCTCGGGCGGAGCAGGCATGGGCGTAGGCCCCCAGTGCAGAACAGATGTGAGGGAAGGTCTCCTCGTAGTTGCAGGCCTGGTACACACACCTCTGTGGGGAGGGCAGGACCCAGGTGTCTAGGACTGCATCTGCTGCTACCACTTCCCCTTACCCCCTCCTCAATACCATCGGACCCACCTTGTAGAAGGGCTGGGGGTTCACCGCAGTGTGGCACTTCTCAAACACACTGCCCTTCCTCAGCAGCATGGAGCAGTGGGTCTCTGCGCACACCTCTGGGGACAATAGGTGCAGTTGTGGGTGTCCTGTTCCCTCCCCATCCCTACAGGCTTAGGTGGCTGAGGGTGGGGTGTAGGGGACTCACTGTTGAGCTGGCTCATGGAGCAGGGGTCAGTCTCACGCTCTAGGGCAGCTGGACAGTTCCCTGCGCGCCAGGAGTCCACGAACAGTGAGGCAGTGCCTTCATCAATGCCCATGCTGGTTGTGAAATCATCCGTTGTGTCGCCATTGAAATTGCCACAGAGCCCTGAAGGGGCCGGGATGTGAGAGCAACTGAGTGAGTCCTGGCCCTCCGTATACCCTAAAGTTCTCCGTATACCCTAAAGCTCTCTTCTCTCCAGCTATGCCCCTCTGATTAATCATCACTGTCCTCATGAGGCTGGGGCTATGGGTTCCCTGGATATAGAGAGCCAGTATAAGGCACCCCTGGGTCCCCTCTGCATCTAGCTGCAGCAGAGGAGACAGCCAGGCTGACTCTGGGAGTGACCAGCAGGACAGTGGCTCACCTCTGGTCTGGCCTTTGAACTGGGGCCCAACTGTGATGTACGCCTGGAAGACGGGCTGCAGCTGGACCACAAGTTCCAGTCCAAAGGTGGTAACCATCTGGAGGTGGGTAGATGTCTGCCTGAAGATGGTGATGTTGTCTGCAAGAATTCAGGCCTAAGCAGGCTGTCCTTGCTGCCACGCCACAAAGGCACAGCAACACAAAATTCTCAGTGCCAACCCCAGAAGGACTCACGTGTCTTGTATGGCAGCAACTTGGTATCCCCATTGTTAGTGACCACTTCATCCTCTGAGATGACAATTTTGTCCTGGAGGGACAGAGGAGTATGAGCAGGGAGTAAGAGGAGCAGGAGCCAGTTGCTGGGTCTGCAGCGATTGTCCACAGCGTGTGCTTGATTCAGGGCAGATAGCCTTACCTTCTTGGACAGGTAGATGATAGACACTAGGGAGGTCTCTGAGTGTGAGTAACCTGACTTGTCATACACAGCCATGAGGGTGCCTTCGTTGGGAAGCAGTGGGCTCTGGGGAGGTGAGTGAGTGGGAGTGAGTGGGGAGGTGAGTGGACAGACTTCCCTTCCCCCAGCCCTAGGCTCCTCCTACCTGGAGAAGAGTGTAGGTGCAGGTGCCGTGGAAGCGGTAGGGTCTGGCATCGAAGGTGGTGACAAAGGAGCCACCTTCTAGGGAGCAGTGGCCAGGACAAGGCTGCTTCGTGCACGTCCAGCGGCCCATGGTGCACTGGCTGCAGGTGGGCGTTGGGGTAATCCCCAGTGGATTGTGAGGCCCAAGGTAAATGGCACCCATCCTCAGGTTCCATGCCAGCAGAACTTGTTCTCTATACTTACCAGGTTTGGCAGGCTGTCCCTGTGACCTCCCCGGGGCCATAGACCACACCATTGAGCATACAGGGGCACTGGCTGACTGGCACACAGGACTGGTTTTTGGATATATCGTCAAGTAGTGTACCTAAGGGCATGGGCTCAGGTTGGATGGATGTTCCTTAGGCAGCCTATCACTGTGGAGACTCCTCCCCAGCTGGCTGTTCACTCAGTCCCAGGCTGTGCTCTTCCTTCCCTCATCCCTGCCAGCCTCGGCAGTTGCCCTGGATGGCTCAAAGCCCACCTCTCCTTAGTACTCTTAGATCCCTCTTCCCCACTGCTCACTCTACATGGAGCCCTGGGTTGACTGAAAGTTTTGGGGTGGGTAGATAAAGCCTGGATTTGGGACTCAGATAAAGACTGTCTAGGCCAAGCTAGGTCAGTGTGAGTGAGTTGTAGGGAAAGTGGGTACTGGTCTATGTCCTCACCATGGGGGCAGAAGCAGCCGAAGGTGCAGAAGCTGGAGCAGCTGTGCTGTGGGTTGGAGCAAGTCTTGACGCAGACCTCACCACACTCCTGGTACACCTGGTTGCCCGGGCACTGGCTCACGGCTGCAGGCAGCAGGCATAGAGTCTGGTAAGAAGATCCTGCCTGCCTTCCTGAGTTCCTGCTTCATTTTTGCTTGGCTCCTTCCCTAACCGAAGCTGCTTTCCCTTTCGCCCTGCCTAGGACTCACGGCAGAGTCCGGGGGTCCTCCAGTTGCGGACAGGCTGGCCGGCCATGGTACATCGACGGGAGTACTCAGACAGTGTGGCGCAGCTGCAATTCTGCCGGCCTGGCTGGGCACACTCAGCCATGTCTGCCTGGCAGCTCAGCACCAGTGGCTCCTTAGGCACGTCACACCCAGGGGACACCAGGGTCAGTAGCTGGTTGCAGATATGGGCCTGAATAGAGAGCCGCTCAAAGTCATATGGGTGAGGCCACATTTTGTATCATACATACCAGGACTTGGGAGGCTAGAAGTTGGGTAGCATTGGCCCCAGAGACCCTTACATAGCCCCCCTGTGTCAACCACATTCTGGTCTTGGGTTCTGGGCCACCTCACGTACGTATCTGGTCTCCAGGGTGGTAGGGCTGGGGATGGCCTCATGGGCACAGATCTCATTGGGGTCATCTAGCTTCTGGAGTGTGGCATACTTGTGAGGTTCCAGAAGTTTGCCTGGGGGCATAGGACAGAGGTCAGCATGTGGGAACAGACTACAGAGGGACCTGGGGCTTGACCACCCAACCCCAACCTAGCTTACCATCCTCGCTTAGAAATTCGTTGTCTGTCTTCCCGTCGAAGTTCCCACACAGTCCACACAGCTTGCCCATGTACTTCTTCTCTACCAGGACCTGCAGGGTAGCATTGTTGGTCCCTGTGGGAATGCATAGGGGTTCCCTACCCTGGCTGGAGAGCCTTGGACTCTTGCTTCAAGGTTTCAGGTGTTCCCACCTCCCCACCCTTCTCTTTGTGGGTTGTGGGGTTCCTTTCCAGGCTGGATCCTCCTTTTCAAATGGGAAAACTGAGCTGCTATCTAAACTCGGGTCCTCTTGGGTTGCTGGCCAGCAGTCAGTGCTGTCCAGCCAGTCTGGGCTCCTGGGACTCACTCTGAGAAGGGCCCTTCCTGAACGCTGTTTGTCAGCTCATGGCTCTCACCATAAGATGGGCATCTGGACCCCAAATGACAACTAACTCCAGCTCCAGCTGCTTGGCCACCAGCTGCACGCTCTGGCCGTATGGTGTGATCTGGAGGCCATTGCTGGTGTAGGGCAGGCTAACAACCCTGTGGGTAAGACAAGTCAGCAACTGTCCCTTCTGCCCCTGACCCTGGTTACCCTGCCCCATAGCTTACCCGATGTCCCTGACAGAGATGATTGCCTTGTTCACAGTGACCACAGAAGCCCCAAGTTCTATGATGATCCGGGATATGTTCCCATCCCTATCTCTCCGCAACTGGATGCTAAAGGTGGGTGAGGCATCCCCACATGTAGCCGTAAAGACATAGTTGCACATCCCTTTGAAATCGTACTCATGGTGGTCAAAGGTGGAAAAGTGGCCAGTTCCCCATGTAGAGCACCAGCCCTTTTCTGGGGCTGCAAAGAAAATGATACACTCCCAGTCCTGTGTCCAATGACTAGGCAGGGCATATCTGGGATAGCCAGGCCCAGAAGCAGGGACCCTGCAGAGGCCACCATAGCCGCAATCCCACATGACCACCCAGCTCTGGCCCAGGCTCCGCCTTCTGTCTAGGCCTTACAGGATTGCAGGTTATCCTCAGTGTTGGAATCTGTGGCATCTGCAGTCCAGGCACCTGTAAGGCAGGAAGCTATGACTCAGTATCCCCCAGGGCCAGGCACGGAGGTCACATTGCCTTGGATGAGAACTCTTGGCTGGAGCCTGAGCTGTGACTTTCATTGCTGGATGCTTCTTGTGGAAACCCCAAACCACAGTACCCCTAAGGCCTGCATGCTATACATGGGTGTGGTCAAGCAAGCTTGTGTGCATGTGCGTGCGTGCGTGCGTGTGCGTGTGTGTGTGTGTGTGTGTGTGTTGAGGTGTGGCCCCCTCCTTTTTGCCCTCTGGGCCATTGGGCCTCAGGTACTCTGGTGAGTGATGTGATTGCTGTTGGCTCTCACCTGTCTGTGGAGAGTCCTGCTTCCAGGGACCTAGGCTGGCAAAGGAGGTGGTGTCCAGACCTGCATGGGCAGGACCCATGGTTAGTGTTGTGACTGTTATCTCAACTTGTTCCACCCTACTGTCATCCCTGGTGGGTTTGTCCACTTCTACCCGAGACTGCCCAAGTTCACAGCACCCGTTTGCCCATCATTTGTAGCAGTCCCCTGCCCTGGAACAGCACAAGCTTGTCTGCAGTATGCTTAACTGAGTAGGTAGCAGGCTCTAAGGGAGGACACAGGGTGGAGTCCAGTCCAAGCCCCGGCATCTCAGCTCATTTTTCCCCAGCTGTAACACCCTCCTGCTCTCATTACTTCCTGGTTTGTATATTCCATCTTTGGCTTAGCCTGGCTGCAGGAAGCTCCTGCTTGGTGCCTGTCACCATGCCAGGTGCTGCAGGTCCACAGCACAGGGCTTGTTCCCACAAGGTCCCGGGAAGGTGGCACCCACTCATACAGCACACACATGCTGCAGAAGTGACCTGGAGTGATGAGCACATGAAGCAAGGAAGTGTAGACAGCTGCTACTGTGCATTCTGGTATTGGGAGGACAGCCTCTCTAAGGAAGTAAGGAACATTGGGACAGGGCCAAGGGCACTTTCTACTCTGGGGCATGCTGGAGGGACACACTGTCCTGTGGAGGCCAGCAGGGAGTGGAGTAGAGCTAGCAGGACATCCCTGGGGAACAAGTGCCATGTTGGGATAGGCATCGATGCCTGTCTGCCAGGATCACTCCCCATTCACCGCTCACTTGAGCCAAACTGCAGAGCTCAGCAGACGGAGAATCTAAATGCAGGCATAGGCTCTGAGGGGACTGCTCTGCACAGGGCTCATCTCCATGAAACTCTTGGTAAGGATACAAGAGGGTGGGCCTGGGGTGTGCTGAGAGGTGGCAACCTAGGAGAGGACAGAGGGCTGAGACAGATTTTGGCTGTCTCCTCTGCCAGGCCACACCCAGTTGTGTCCCTGATCTGGCTGTCCTGTCTCCCCGTGGGTCTATTCAGTAAACTACCCAGAAGCTGCCTACTCCCCCATCTGGGATCCTGAACTAGGTTTTCTTCCCCTTTTCCTCCTTGGCAGCCTCCAAGACAGCCATAGTGGGCCCTTGGACTGTGGTAATCATTGTCACGGTGACCTCCAGGCAGGGCCAGGCAGCCGCAGATGGCTGTGTGAGGGAGGGTTTCTCTGGGGCTCCCATGGGCTGTAATGTCCTGACCCCTCTGCCAGTGCCTTACCTGACACACTTTCCACCCTGCTGACCAGCTGGACCACATAGTGCATCCTTTGGGATGCAGTTCTCCACCCAAGCTCTCCTGAAGGGTTTGGGGTGGTTGTTTCTAGCTGGGGACCACAGCTGCTCATGTGCACACCCTTCATCAAACAACAGTCCTGTATTGAGGACAGGCACCCTCCTGAACCAAGCATAGCTTCAGGAGGGTCTCACATGGAACAGTGAGGGAGGAAGGGGATGCTTGCTTAACCAGCCAGATCAGCCAAGAATCAACTTCACCATTAGTGGGTGACAGATGTCAAAGACAGATAGCTCTCACATCATCTCAAGAGCTTTGGGCAAGATGCCCTCTCCCTCACTGGCTGCCCTGGTTTTCTTTGAGCTGACCTCTAACTGAAGGCCCTTTTGAAGGAGTTCAGGAGACTGCCACTTCTCCTGGGACCATCTGTACCTTTTGTTAACTGATTCCTCGGCCATGGCCCACGGGGACTCTTGTTCATAGGGTCTTCCTTCAGCTTGTTTGGTGGCCTCACCTGTCCTGGGCTAACCCCACTGCCTCGAGTGTCCCCTCCCCAGCTTCTGCAGCCTCAAGTCCCATCTGGCCTGTCTGACTTCATACTCTCCCACCCCTGCCCTCCCTCTAGGCTGCACAGAGGTGATATTCAAAGACTGCTGTCTGAGCAGCCCCGTCCCTTCAGCCTCCCAACGCGGCAGCTCTCCAGAGTCTCTCCCATCAGGCCCTCCTGTGGCTTATTCCCCTATTCCTGGCTGTGGGCCCATGGACCTGGTTCCTGTTATTCCCCCCACCTCCTCTTCCTGCCAGGAATGCTGGGTAAGAGGCAAGACAGGGTCCCAGGTGTCCTATAGGCATTCTTTTTGGTGTTCAGAGCCACCTTTGGTGTGGACATCTGGCCCTATTTAGTGGGAAGGCTGTTGCTGGAGAGAGGAGCAGGGCAGCCTGTGGGGGGGGGGCATCACATTTTTTCAAGTCCGAGACCCACCTAGGACCTTTACCCCCAGGCTGGGTGTATTTTGAGGGTGGGCTCTATATGGCCTGCCCCCCTAGGGGAGGTGCCTGACAGCTGGTGATTGGCATACAGAGCTGTGGGCTGAGGTGGCACAAGGTGTCTCCCCACATATACAGAAGGGGAAGTTGAGACCTGTTAGTGAATGAGGTCAGGAGTAGTGGAGCCTGGACTCGGCCTAGGAACTTTGGCTTCGGCACCAAAGGAGCAACTCTGTTAGGGTGACACACGCCCCTGCCCCTACATACCTCAGGCTCCTCAAAGACCTCTCAGGGCCAGAGCCAAGGGGGAGAGGGGAAGAGTACCAGGTCTGCCCTGTTGCTAACCATTCTGTTCTGCTGTCACCAAAACTGTTGAGACTCCGCAAGAGGGACCCCCGTCCCCCATTTCAGATGAATGAGCTTGCTCCTTTCCTGGCCCCCATACCCAGCTCACGGGAGGTAATCGGGTTTGAGTCGTTGCTGGGTTCCTTCTGCCTCCTCCTATTCATCAGTGTCCGCACTGCCAGCCCGTCTGAGGCAGAGTCAATGAGGCGAGACGACCTGAGGACTTTCCCATGCACAGGGACCTGTGGAGGGCATTGGGTACTCGGCCCCCTGGGCATAGCCCGGCAGATGCCCACTCACCAGCATTGATTAATGGTCCCCTGAAGAACAGCAACAGCAGCAGCTGCTGACCCCTGAGCATGGTGGCACTCCTGGAGCAGAGAGGCGGCCACCAGCCCTGGTCTTCTACTGCTGGGCGCGTAGGCAGTCCTGCTGCTGCCCCCCTGCGACTCGAGTGTCTAGCTCTCCGAAGCTTATATAGGGGTGGTGTGCCCTTCCCCTGCCGCACCCACTTGCACCCCGTACTCCAGGCCTGTGATTGCCACCGCCTGCCGGGCACAGTGGTGGCCAAACAGGATACGGGGTTCTGCTTTATCAGGACTCAAGACTTCTTTGGAAAATTCTGCAGTGGCTGTGGCCCCATTATCTTTCTACTCCTAGTGGGGGGCATGACACATGTACTCTAGGGGCCCATAAGCACCTCCCGCATCTGGCTGTCCTGGAGGCCGTGGTGGGGCCTGTCAACAGCCCGTCCTAACTGCCAGATCACTGTGGACACCATCAGTCACACACCTGGGTGCCTGGGATGGGGCTGGCCTAGGGGGATATCAGAGAGGCTGGGCCTCCTCCTGATCCTGCCAGGTAATCCAGCTTCCACCCTGGGTCCTGGTACCCCACCAGAGACATTTATTTGCTGAGTCTACTCTATTTATTGTGAGTTTTCCCTCCATGAGAAAGACCACCTGGGGAGGGGTCCTGCTGCCTGTACAGGGGGTTCCCTGGTACTGTTTGCTATGTGCTGTGCTCTTGCCCCGTGGGTGAAGTTACCTTTGCAGCATCTCCATGGGTTGAGTGAGCTGTGGGTACCCTTAGACAGCTGGCCAAACCCACTTGGAAGATGGGCTCCTGGGAATATGAGAGGCAGGGGCCAAAGGTGGGGTGCATGCCAGCCCCGTAAAGGGCTAATGCTAGGGTTAGGACAAAGGTCAGGCTGAGGGCAAGAATCAGGGATAAGGTTGGGGTGAGGAAAGGGTAGGGTCTTCCTTGAGACTGTCTCAAAGCCAGGATATGAGGTGGGATCCAACAAACCATTGAGTCTGTCCAGTCCCACTGGGAACCTGGGGTGAGACACACGGATCTCCTAGGGTGGTGCCGCTTGCACCCCTGAAGGAACTCAGGACCAGCGCCTAGCTGTGTCCATTGCAGGTTTGGTGTTAGCTCAGGCCTGCCTGAGTCTGGGTCCCCAAAAAGAGCCTGTATCTCATAGCCAAGCTAAGCCAAGCCCCATAGCCTGGACCCAGGTTGTCTCCTCTGGTCCCTCATCTCTACACTGGGAGCTCTCAGATTCTGTTCTCACTTGGGTCAGCAAATCCAGCAGATCCTGTGACAAAGCAGGACTGTTTGTTTTCTGTAAATAAATCTCAGCTTTAACAGCATGTTTTGGACTTTGGGTGTGGCACTGTGATACAGTGTGCGTCTAGCGTATTTGAGACCCTAGGTTTGACCTTAGCACCTCCCCCCCAAAAAAGACAACCCCCCACTGAATCATAGAAAGAACATGATCTTTACAGAAACTCTGTGAGTTCAGCCTCAGTGGGTGGAGTGGTCATCTAATGCTGTGTGTGCTTCTGGGTTGCCTATTATTGCTCTTTCTCTTCCTTCCCTCCCTCCCTCCCTCCCTCCCTCCCTCCCTCCCTTCCTTCCTCCTTCCCTCCCTCCTTCCCTCCCTCCCTTCCTTCCTCCTTCCCTCCCTCCCTCCCTCCCTCCCTCCCTCCCTCCCTCCCTCCCTTCCTTCCTTCCTCCTTCCCTCCCTCCCTCCCTTCCCTCCCTCCCTCCCTCCCCTCCCTCCCTCCCTCCCTTCCCTCCCTCCCTTTCTCCCTCCCTCCCTCCCTCCCTTCCTTCCTTCCTCCCTCCCTCCCTCCCTTCCTTCCTTCCTTCCTTCCTTCCTTCCTTCCTTCCTCCTTCCCTCCCTCCCTCCCTCCCTCCCTCCCTTCCTTCCTTCCTCCTCTCATCTTTTTATGTAATAGATTTATTTGTCTTGTGTAGTGTGTGTGTTATGTGTGGCACGAGTTTGAGCACCATAGTGTGTATGTGTTCATCATGTGAATGGAGGTCCCTGCAGGGGCCAGAAGAGGGTTGGAACCTGAGTTACGGGCTGCTATGTGGGTACTGGAAACTAAACCTGGATTCTGAATAAAAATAACAGGTGTTCCTTTCTTTAAAAAAAGGTTTATTTGTTTTTATGTGTATGAGTGTTTTGCCTGCATGTATGTCTGGCACCATATGTGTGACTGGTACCTACAGAGGCCAGAAGAGGGAATCAGCTTTTCTGGGACTGGAGTTAGATATGGTTGTGGGCTGCCATGTGCTCTTCCTCTGGAAGAGCAACCAGTGCTCTTAACCACTGAGGTATCAGTCCAGTAATGGCAGCAACTGCTCTTAATGGCTGAGCTGTTTCTCCAGGCTCTCTTAGTGTTTTCTCTCCTTTTTAGCTTCCATATTCTGATTTATGTGTATGTGGTATTCGTATGTAGGTATGTGCCAGCAGAAGCTAGCGGAGCTGAAATTGGAGCTGGAGTTAAAGTTCTAGGCAGTGTTGAGCTGTGACCCTAATCACAGAGCCATCTCTCCGGCCCTCTTAGTGGTTTGTTAACACTCAACAGCACCCACTCAGGTGAGAAACTGAGGGATAGAGTGACATTTTCACTCAAAGTGACACCAATGGGGCTTGTGTAGCTCTGGCTGCAGCCTCGCAGCTGGGTTTGGGCAGGTCGGGAGGGACTCGTGGACCCGGACCCAGGGGAGTCACGTAAAAGGTGCTTATGACTCAGTGTAGTTAGGAGCCCTGTGGCTGCTTGGCTGGCTGGATGTGCTTGTCTAACAATCTGCAGGGGTGTGTGCATATGACCATGCATGAGTGGCTCAGAGCTGTGCCTTCCAGGATCTTCTGGGCTGTTTTGGGCTGCGTGTACCTGTGGCAAGAAGGTAGCTCTAGGGAGTGGCATTGCCCTTTCCCGGGTCAATGGCTCCATCCTGGTGAGGAGGGGCCACAGGAGGGCCTCGGGGCCCACCTTCTGCAACACACTTGATTGGCAGGAAATCACGGCTCAATAGTGTTTTTGTCCTTTGACTTGGGAGAGCGAATGCACTGAGCAAACAGCTCTGACGGCTGAGATAGCTCTGACAGGAAGGTAAGTGTGTGTGCGCCATTGTTCCCTCGGCAATCACAGTGATAAGCCCCAGATCCCACTGGCGGGCCAGGAAAGCAGATCCTGCAGCTGGACAAGTGTGTGATTGTCCATTCTCACGTCCAGCTCAGACCCTTGCCCTCCACATCCATCAGTGTGGCGCAGCCCTGGACAGTGGCCTCCCAGGGCCTAGGCTTGGCTATGAAGTGTGGCCTAAGCCAGCTCTGGTCACAGAGCCCAGTGTCTAGAGCAGTGGTTCTCAACCTTCCTAATGCTGAGACTCTTTAATATGGTTCCTCATGTGGTGACCCCCAACCAGAAAATTATTTTCATTGCTACTTCATAACTGTAATTTTGCTGCTATTATGAATTGTATTGTAAATATCTGTGTTTTCTGATGGTCTTAGGTGACCCCTTGAAAGGGCCATTCAACCCCCGAAGGGGTCATGACCCACAAATTAAGAACCACTGGTCTAGAGAGAGGTGTCCCAGGATCATGCACAATTAAAAACAGGCCTCTGTGTGGGGTTGCCAGGGCTTGTCCCTGGCAAGTGCTTCCAGCATCCTTCATTATGCTTGGGTCCTCCCTCCCGCCACAGGCAACCCTCCTGGGTTGGCTTTGTTTCTTTCATAGAGGTACAGGAGTTGACATATTGGTCAGCCCGTCCAGACCACCTGTCCCTGACTTCTGGACCCATCTGGGTTAGGTGTGACAGTCTCTGGGGGAAGAGCTGGTGTTTTCTCAATCCCTTTGGCTTGGTAGTCATACACCATCAGATGAAAAGGCTAAATTTAGGGAGAGTTTGTGAAAGATGTCCACACCCGAAGTAGGAATTCTCCCCTGTGGCTGAGCCATGCTCTAGGAGGGTGAGCCAGGACTGATCAACCAGTATGGACTCTGGGTGGAGGCTGTATCTGAGTTTCCAAGGACTGGGTATAAAGTATGGAGCTGTGAGCCTGATGTTTCTTGAAGGTTAAAGGTGGGCTCTCTGTACCTTGCTGGTCGGTGAGCTTCAGGGCTGGCTCATGGGCACCTGCTGTTGGGGAGAGGGCGAGAACTGATGACCTTGGACACAAGTAGCTGAGGGACTTCAAGCCTTGGAGCGAGAGCCATGCCTGCCATGTCCTGTGTGTAGTAGGTGACAGTCAGACTTAGACTCAGTGGGGCCTGAGCTTCATTAGCTGTCCCATAAGAGGCTGTGCCCCCCTCTCCCTCTGCCCCCAAGTATCAGTGGTGCCCCCCCCAGCCCCAACTCTCAGATGCCCTGGCCTCCTGCTTGCCTTGGGAGTACATAGGAGATAAAGTATTCCTGGTCAACCTTCTCCAGGGGCCTTCAACCCTTGCCCTAGGATCCTGCTGGCTGGTACCCCTACCTGGAGCCACGCTGTGCTATTCCCATACTACCTCTACAGAATGTTCAAGGTCCTGTCTAATTCCTGGCCTCTGGTCCCCTACTCTAGCCAACTCCTGCTTCTTTGGCTTTTGTAGAATTTACCCTGAGCTGCTGGAGTCAATTCTGATGAAAGTAACAATGAAGCCAGCAAATCTTGTGCTATGTCCATAGCTAGAGGGTGTATGTGACCTCCACAGCCCCTTCAGTGACTGTTCCCCAGTTTCTACCTAGCAGAGTGCCTAGACTCCACCAATTGCTTTGACTTTGGCTCTTAGCCTGGGATTTGGTTGTGATCAGCCCCTCCTTCTGGATATGGGCCCTGGCCTCCAGCCTTGGCAGAAAAGTGACTACCTGAGGTAGGTCCTGCCTGAGTTGGGTGGAACTATGTTTTGAAATGGTGGAGAGCTCACTAAAGGGCTGGGGCCCTTTAATCCTATTGTTCATGGATGTCTTGTATTGTCCCTAATGGAGGGACTGCAGATAATAGGGGTGGCATCAGAAAGGGGTGCTAAGTGGGCCTGGACTCCTAGGGAACCAATAGGTCTTAGCCTGGGGTGAGGGTGGCTACAGCTGGCACCCACCTTCTTCTTTTTTCCTCTTGAGTTCTGGTCTGATGTAGCCCAGGCTGGTGCTGACTTTCTATGTAGCTAAGGATAACCTGAACTTCTACCCCTTCATCCTCCGACTTCCAGGGGCTGAGATTACTAGTGTGAGCCAACATATTTGGTTTATGAGGTGCTGAGGATCAAATTCAAGGCTTTGTTTATGTTGGTGACTGTTCGACCAACCGAGCCAAACCCTAGTCTGAGATACCCACCTTTTGACAGGAAGGCTTCTGGCTCAGCTGTCCCACAAGTCAGATGGCCCCTGAAGCCAGGTGCATTTCAGAGCAGGGCAATAACAGCCTAGATTTACTGGAGGCTACCAGACCATTTGCGGCAGAGCCATGACTATGGAGGCCAGGCCTTAGGCAGCAGGTACTCAAGAGTGTCCTGGACCTAGAGTCAGCCGGGAGAGATGGGTAAACTTAGCCTAAGAGCTGATGGTGGTGAAGGTGCTTGGAACTAGCCGTGGGAGTAAGGAAGGTAGTATGTACTTACATGGGGTCTGGTTAAGGTGTCTCAGTGGAGTTTGAGGACAATGTGTAGGCTCTGCCAGCAGCATGGTAAAAAGACATGCACAGAACCCACAGCCCCGAGGCCACAGATCCTGCAGGAAATTTCTAGAAAGTTGTGGTCTCTCCCCTAAGAAGCATGGCAGCCATAGTTAGAACAGTGCAATCCTCAGGAACTCAAAGGCCATCCCAGGCAGTGGGAAGGGGAAGGTGGGTGTGGCATAGGCAGGCAGCAGGGGAGAGGAAGGTTTGGGCACAGAAGGGCTGTAGCATTGGCTGTAGTTGTTTGTAGCTTGAGGAGGGTTGAGCCAAGCAGAGACTATGGGAACAAATGGACTTCTGGGGTCCTGAGGAATTGGGCTCAAGCCTCTCCTGCCCAGGGTCAGATTGAGCAAGGCTGAGACTGGCCTTAGAAATGAAATGCTGCTGGACGGTGGTGGCACACGCCTTTAATCCCAGCACTGGGGAGGCAGAGGCAGGCGGATCTCTGTGAGTTCGAGGCCAGCCTGGGCCACAGAGTGAGTTCCAGGAAAGGCACAAATCTACACAGAGAAACCCTGTCTCGAAAAACCAAAAAAAAAAAAAAAAAAAAAAAAAAAAAAAATGCTGGGGCTAGAGATTTGGCTCATAGGTTAAGAGCACTGGCTGCTCTTCCAGAGGTTCTGAGTTCAATTCCCAGCAACCACATGCTGGCTCACAGCCATCCATAATGAGATCTGGTGCCCTCTTCAGGCCAAAAACCAAAAAAAACAAAAACCACTGTATACATAATAAACTTTAAAAAATTTTTAATAGAAACAAGTGCTCGCTTCGGCAGCACATATACTAAAATTGGAATGATACAGAGAAGATTAGCACGGCCCCTGCGCAAGGATGACACGCAAATTCGTGAAGCGTTCCATATTTTTTTCAAAAAAAGAAAAAGAAATGAAATGCTAGGGCTGGGAGCATATCTAAGTGGTACTGTGCTTGTCTAG